TTACAACCCCATTAAAACAATAACAGCCAATGTTTTGAAGGAAAAGTCATACTTTGGTACTTCTAATTACACATTTTTAAGTCTAATGATTATTAACTTCACTTTGCTCATACACATAATTATGTAGGTCTACATAATAGCTCCACATAGCTAGATAGATAGGTAGATTAGTATGAATAAATAGAAAGGGAAGGGGTGGATATCTGTGTTGATGCAATGATGTTTATAAAGGACTAGATTTCAGGAAACTATATTAGATTATGTTTGGAGGACAAAGTCCTGGAACTTGACTTACAGTCTGGGAAACCTGTGGACAGAAATAGAACAATGAATTCTCATTGCCTTTGTTTTGTGTTGATTTCATTGTTGTTTTGTTCTTACTTGTATCATTAATACTTGAGCAATCAAGAGATTTCACATATAAATCCACACTTCCACTTTTCCCTGAAAAATCAGGAGACAATATAAAAAATTGTATGCAGTTCAAACAGTAGGCATGCTATGATTTTAAACTGCAAATAGCAACAATTTAAGGACTTCAATTTCTTCATCTTGATGTTTCTCTTCCTTATCAAATGGTGTAAGTACAAGAACTGAAATGCTTTCCCAGAATGCTCCCTGGATTAATGGGATATTACACCCATCCTATTCCACCTGTCATTTCTGCCCCAATTTCTATGTTGTATCAGTTTTTTCTCCATATAGTTTTTCGCATCAGAGCTTATTTTCTTGAGTTCTATTCAGGTCCTATGTTTCTCCTGTTGGGGCTGAGAAAAGAATTGCTATCGTAGCCATTACCATCCCTCTTTGCTATCCTCTGCCTGCCTTGCCCTGTCCTTCACAACAGGTACAGATGTAGATGCACAAGTCACATTTCAATACTGTGTGAGTCCTTGATCTCAGACCTTCAGTGACAACATGGAACCATGTTCAACTTACCATATACTTGGAACTCAGTCTTTTCCCTCTCATTTTGTGTTAATTCACACACAAATAGGTAGCCAACAAGCTCATTTCCCTAGTGCCAAAATAGGCATCGTCTGGACTTTGCTTTACCCCCAGGAATACCTCTTCTCCACCTGTATAAGCGGGTGGTTCCAACCTTTCTGGACCACATTGGTCCATAGTAACGTGATGCAGTTCATCTCTCCTGGTGCTTGTTTAAAAATTGTGTCTCGTTTCTCTGATTATCATAAAATAAAGTTTCTCCAAACATGGTCCCTGGGAATCTTATTTCAAAATCAGCTGTCTTACTCTCCAGCATTTATTTCTGTGGCACTACCTATATCCTCCTGAATTCTTCCTTTAGAATACAGTAATCTTATTAATCTAAACTTTAAGATGTCTAGAAGTGAAAGACAACATGCCTTATTGCTGAGTGGTTTAAGAGAGGGCGAAACAGAGTCCAATTCATTTTAAAATTAGTACATTTTCATGTTTCCTAGTTGTGTTTTTCAAACTGTTTGCCACTATTATTGGTGATAGCTTCTAAAACAGAATTTAACCTTATTATTGATGATCTCTTTGGTTGTGGCTTTCACCATTTTTAGACATCACTTTGAAAGCTGTCTGTCTCATAATCCTGTGACAGCAAATAGAAAGCAAATAAAGAGCTTTTGCCTTTTAGGCAAAAGCAAGATGATTATCCAATAAGTTCATTGAATGCAAGTGTGCTTTTTTGGTATATTATTCTCCACCATGCTTATTCCTTGTTTGTAATGAAACCACAATTAATAAATATTGAATTGGATTGGATAAATTGCATGAATATTTGAAGATGAAAAGTTAGAAATACTATCAGCACTCAGAATGAATGATGGTTACTACTCAGGACTATATACTCACCCAGACTTCACAGGTTTCCCTTGGTGCTTTGTGTACCCTTGTAAGTAGATGCTGCAGCCTTAATTAGGCATGGCTCTGATTTCTTCTACTTTAACAGTGGGGAGTTTTCAGCTGGAGGCCCAGAGGGAGGCAAGGGAGGGAATGCCACGTGAGATGCAACTACTGTCTTTCAGGTTATTTTATAAAAACGGTTTTCTGTAGAACTTAAAACATCTCTTTCATTTTTTAAAGCAAGATAGTAAAGATGAGGAAGATGAATCTAATATTTTGAATGATGACTCTTAGAGGGTGCCATAATGATAAAGTGATTTAATGATAAGAGAAGAATTTAAAAATAGGAAATTTTTGAATTTGAGATTCAATATGCCATTTATGAGTTCTTCAAGTTTGTGCAAGATCCAACACCTCTTCTAACATCAGTACCTTAACTGGTGAGCTGGGGACAATTCTACTAAATACCAGGTTGTTGTGGGATCAAATAAAGGAATGGGCCAAATATTTTTAAAAATATACCTTGGTATTGTTAGTGCAGCTTGTTCAAAAGGTGTGAATCAAGGTCTCACACACACAAGCACAAAACTATTATTTTGATTCATAACTTAAAGAGTGAAAAGCAGATTTAATGAAATCGCATCCTCATAATCCCACAGAACAAGCAGTCTATTTCCCAGGCAAGGAATCCTGTGCCCAGCGAGGTGAAGCAGCATGCCTCGGCCACTAGTAAGCAGCTGAGCCAAGATTTAATCCATGCATGTGTGACTTCCAATGCACCATTCTTTCCACTGTGAATACCATTTTGTCTTTTTTAAAAAATAAGTCAATCCATGAACTTTTTCTTAACAGCAAAACATTTGTTTGAATACTAACACATCTTGTTAATGTCCAGTTAAGGTGTTGTCCCTTGGCATCTGCTTCAATTTCCTTTTATGAAATATTGTAAGCATAATTTGAGTGTAGTTTAAATGAAGTGTCCAAATGGGAACAACAGGTCAAGTGAAAAATTAGATTTTATAGATTGCAAGAATTCAATGCCTAAATTATTCTTAATGGACATAATTTTTAGAAAAGAAAATTCTTCAGGAAATGACTAGTTTATCAAGTTCATGACCATTTCTGAGATACCTATAGCATAGAGTAAGTAAAAATAAAAATAAATGAGGTAAACTTCAACATAAGTAATAGTGAAGACTACCTCTCTTTATGAATTTGGGAATCACAAGAAAATCTTTGGGCATATTTGACCCAAGTTAATTTTTTCTCTTTGTTTGTTTTAAAGACTATTTAAATGGTCTTTTGCTAGAAAGATATCAGAGAATTTTAAAGCACTGTGGCTTTTGAAGGAAGTGATTCTGAGAATACTTTATTTTTGTCTCTTTTATCCTAAAATAACTTCTTTTTGGGAGTTGAGCCCTCACTGTTAAATTTGGTTGCTGGGCACTTGAGCAGAAGAAATTATTTTCTTAAGTGAGTAATTTTTTAAAAATAAGGGTAGAAATAGGATGGGATTAAAGATAAGAATGGATATGATAGTGTGATGAAGTTGGAGATGTTGATTTTATCCTGCAGGGAAACAATTTTTTTTAGTATAGATCATATCTACCAAGTAATGTAACCATCGTTCTCGGTAGAACATCATAAGGGGTGTTAAATTCATGTACTGCACAGTCATATAGCCTGGAATTCCAACTCAGTTCTGACACTTCCTAATTTTGAAATTTTATTCAAGCTACTCTAACTCTTTAAGTGTTTGTGCTTTCACTGGCAAATTAAGGGCAATAACTGTATCATGGTGTTGTCATGATGATTCAGCAAAACCACCAATATGTACCAATAAACACTGCAGATTTTGCAGTTATTATTATTATTGTTTGAGGGTTATATAACTTTCTCAACGTATTTATTAGACTCATAACCTTATACACTAATATCTAAGGGTTTCTACTATGTAAATGCTTTCCTTTTACAATTTAATAGGTTAATAAGGTGGTGGAAAAGATGCTGCATTTCTTTTAAATGAAATATCAAATCAAGTTCAAGAGGCATTACTGTGCTCATAAAACCAAAAGATAATAAAAACCAAGACTTCTAGTAAATAATCATGAGTTTAGAAATATTTTCAAAAGTACTCATCATGGGAGAACATATTGATCTGGGTGTATATTTCAAGAAACCATCTTTCGCGTGCTGTGCTGGTGGCTAACAGCCTTTTACCCAGGGGAAGGTGGCTTCTCCAATTGTGGTGAATGGTAATTCTATTTGTAGGCATTATTTCCTATATAATGCGCTACTTTCTGTGATTATATTTTAAAAAAATATTCGTCCTCAAATTATATAGTCTTCTTCCATGTGTATGTTAAATACAAAATCAGAACTATTACTATGATTTGAACGTCTTGTGCAAAATTCCTTTCTCTCTACCTCTTACTTTTAAATTTAAGAAAAAAAGGACAATTTTTACACCAGTAGAAAATCCAGAACGAAAGCCTTACCTGCCTTCAACCAAGAAACTGTATTTTTATCATTTTCAAAATGCTCAGCTGTTCTTACTTTTATCTTTTCCAGCTCACTTTCTGACATCTAAATGGAAACAGAATCATGGTATAAAAATCATTAAGAACCCAAATCTCTAACATTCAGGTTTTATATTTAGCGACTACTGCTATCCTGTGAGTCAATTTTATTTCTGAAGTGTTTCAGTTTACTGTCTTATGTTAAGTTGTTTACTTTATCCATTTGTGTTATTTTTGAACATTGACATTGAGGAGTAAACTTTGTGTGGCATAGTATTCCATTATTCAGCAACAAGGGTTTCTATAAAATTTTTACAGTTTCTGAACATGAAAGAATAACAGGTTAATAACAGCCATGGATTCATAATAAAAAAAAAAAACAAGCTAACATTCAGGTGCTGTTTCAGTGGTTCTCATTCTGTAAAGGAAAGCCTGCTGCAAAGTAATATACAAACATGCATTTAGCAATATTACACAAAAAGGACCCCTTCAGGAATTTATTGGCTGAAGAACTTTAGGACTTGTACCAGTCCAGCTGGACCCCCTGAGGGTATGGAGAACACAGATACCTTCGTGCAGTGCACTTGACTTTCCAGGCTTGCTCACACTGAACGTGCCAGGAGCATCAGCACCTGGTGTACTTACCTGTGTGTTCCAGAGGGAGGACGCCCAAGGTGTGGGACTGGTGAGCAGTGTACTGCAGCCTCTCTTGTCTCTCCATGTCCAGCATTCCTCTTCCGTGCCAGAAATGAGCAAAGAAGCAAACACACTCCCTCCCTGGGTGCTGCTAGATTTGTGTTGCTGCCAGAAGCATCCAACTTGCGGCTTTTTTTTTTTCCTTTTTTTCCCCCTAAGGTAATATAAAGCCTGTGGTTCAAAGCAATGAAAACCTCCTTCAGGCTAGTACTTACTTAAAATGACACACTACAAAACTGGGTAAAAATAATGAACTCGTTTTAAATGGATAAAGTTTCGGCCACCCCCTTTCTTTCACACTCACCATTCATTACTTAGGTTTAATATTAAAATATACACACACTGTTGAGGGAGATCTTTAAAGCCACATCCTCTGGAAGTCTCTCCTGACGCTTATGCTTTGAGAAGCATTTTTTTTCCCTAGCACAAAAAACAAAAGAACTTCTCAATTTATTTTAATCATTTGCAGATATTGAAAAAACAATTTGGAATAATATCCCAAAGAAGGTTTGTCAGTGCATATTTAGAAAAGCATGATATTGTTTTTCATGGAAGATTTAAAGAAAGCATAACATTTGGCTAGCATGATAGTTTACACTATTCCTAAATATTGTCATTTTTTATTACAAAAAAATGATATTTATTTTTGTCTCCAAATGATCTGCCTTTTCCAGTGTTTTTGCCCAGACAATAATGCTATCTGATTGTCATGTATCTATTTTCTCTCTTTTCCTAACTTCTTTTACCCTTACACTTAGCTCCCAGGGTCATCATCTCTAAAACCCACTTCAGTCTCCAATATTCATGCAAAAAGAACTGTCACTTCTTCCCATTTTCAATAAGATAAACTCTAAGTTGCTTAGACAGCTAAGGCAGACTATAATGATTAGATTTCCAGACATGGTTTTACATATAAAGTTCCGTAGAGTTGAGATTCCAGGGATGTTTCTAACCTTTTACTGTAACCTAATTGTGTGGCTGTGGGTTCTAATATTAACATACCTAGAAATGTTCCCTCAAAATTCCATCCCACCCCATCTTTCAAGGCCCTTTGATTTCTCTCATTTGGAAGTGACTTTTCCCTTCCCTCTTCTCTACAAGGACCGTTAGTGTGATTGTGATGAGTCTTAGTTTCTCTTTTTGTCAACCTGTCCAATCTTCCTTTTAAGACTATTCTCTCAGGGCTCAACTTCTAGCTCAGTATTCTGTGCAGGTTGCTTAGTGTTTGACCTGATTGCCATTAATTAACAATTTTTAGATAAACAAAAACAGTGTGCAAAAACTGATCATATTTTCTCTTGTTCTAAAGTCATGAAAGGTATGTAATTACCAATTTTAAAAATGTGTTTCTCTTCTGTAGTTACACTGTTTAGTGTGGCCTCCTCATACACTTGGAGACATAATATAATTCCCTTTTTGGTTTAATTGTTGTCAGTTGGAAAAGTAAGTTATTTGAATTTTACTTATTAGTGATGCCAGAAAGACATTCTACAAATAATGTCAGTGCTTTACAGCAATAGGCAGCGACAGCACAGATGCTGAAGGAAGTCTCAAGTGAAAGAGAAACAAATATCTAGGGAGAATAACCATGGGCATTGCTGGACACAAGATCCTTCTAGCTTATTTTTATTTGATTTTAATATTAAGTTGTTATGTTATTAATATTATTTCTCAATAAAAATTCATGTGTTCGTTTCAATTTTTAAGTGGGTTTGAATCTATGAGACATGTAATCTCATCTCTAGTACAGAGAAACCATTATAATCCATAAGCATGTGATGCTTCTAGATTCATAACAAAGCCTTTATAAGACACCAGGATCATTTTAACTTACATTTAAAGGAACTATTTTCCATGTTTTATCTCAACAGCAACCCATTCTCCAAATCATTGTCCATATCTTTCCACCTTAGAGTTTATGGATTACTTTCAATATACTTAACTATTCTTTACCTACACTTATTTCCCACTTTTGTGCTTTTGTAATTACTAGAATATAATTATCCAAGACTTAATATTAAGTAAATTTCAGACTGTAAAATTCTTTTTTTTTTTTTCTTTTTTTTGGTACTGGGGATCAAACTCACAACCTCATGCTTGCCAGGCAGGCACTGACACTGCTAAGCTAAACCCCCAGTGCCAGACTGTAAAACTCTTATGCAATATTTTGTCTAAGAAAAAATTTTCACGAGAGGAATTATGAATAATTTGGAAATAAAGCTTCATTTTTGCCGATGTATTTTAAAGATGTGGTCAGTTTAAAGCCTGCAGTTTTTCTGTTATTTTGCTTAGTTCTTTTTTCTGCTTGATTTACTGCTGTTCTTTGGCTTTGCTTTTGCCCTTTAAACTGCCTTTTGTTTGTGATAGTAGATGATGTTACTTGAATTTCTTATGTGGAACTTTGATTCAGAAGAACACAAGTTTTCAAAGTTAGACAACCTTGTTTGAATTCTATTGCTGTCTGTGAATATTTACAGTCATTTTATTGTGAAAGCTATAAATGTTAATAACCATAGAATTCATTTTTCCCTCTCTCTTTAGTAAATTTAAGACTACAGATAGAATACTTTTTCATGCATCATCTCTGTATCGCTAGTGTCCTTGTTGGACGCTGTGTTCTTGGTGCAGTCTTCCATACTGATACCAACCTTTAAACCATATATTCACCATCTAGTGATATCTGAGGACCACAGAATTCACCATCTGGGTAAGGGGGCCTGATTTTGATTGGAATTTTAGACTCTTGAGTTGGTCAGGGCCTTGGTATAAATTAGTTGAGCCTACACTTGATGGCTGGGGGTGAAGAGGAACCCAAGTCTGATGAAGCCCAGGCAACATAAACTAGGAAAAAATAGATCAAAACAGAGTCTATAAATGGAAGGTCAGCCTCAGAAGTCAGGGCTTTCTCTGTGATCAGAGGCCAAAGACAATACATACATTTTTAAAAATCTCTACCAAATAATATTCATTTTGCCCATTTAAAATAATTAGCTGCAGAATTTATACTCAGTGATACAAATTCAAGTCTCAAATTTTCTTGTTAAACTCAGTGTTCTTTTACTTTTGAAGTTATTATTTTAGTTTATTAGGACACGTGTATAGTACACGATGTTTACATTCTTTGTGGGAAATCGATGCATGTACAACAACACACCTTAATCCCTGGTTTCATCCCCTTTCCCACCCCTCCTTTCCTACTCCATCCATTCCTTCATCCCTTTTCTTTTCTTTTCTTTTTTTCCTTTTAAGAACAAAGATAGTGTGAATGTACCCTTTATGATTCTAGGATTTTTTTTAAAAAAAATTACTCATACCTCAGTGTTGCTATTTCCTGATCAAAATCTGATCCAGAAATAGAAACTATAAGGGCAAACTGTCCAGTAGAAGACAATCTTTGCCAAGAGAAAATCCTGCAAGATGATCATATTTCATGTTCTCGTTTCTGTTAGAAAAAGATTTAATGCGTGAAGATAGAACTTTTTTTAACAAATAAGCACATACTATTATGTTAGTCTTTTCAATTGTCTTAAAAGTAACATCACTTCACATTGTTTGCAATAGAATGAAATTACATGTCTAAGACTATCAAGTTGAACAATGTATAGTTGTCAGCAACTCACATTAAAGTTTAAGGAATATAATTTGTAGATAGGAGATCTTGGTAGAATTTATGCATTTTGACCAAAATATAAATCAAAAGGTAGAGAAATCCTGCAAATAACATGCTTGAATTTACTTTTGGCAACATAGTTCAAATGTATCTGACTCAGAACTATGACACACAAAACCCAGCTAAAAAAATTGAAGAGCTTGAAAAGGGCCTGGGGTGGCTCAGAGCCACTTGCATTCCGTGTCACAAGCCAAAAACCTGCACAGCAATCTCCATCCAGCCATGCAACCTCAACACCTTTTTCAGGGTCCAGTAGGGCCCCACCCAGCATCCCCCATCACCAGAGGACCTTCAGGAAGGTCCAGGTAGGCCTTGTGAGGCCCCATCCAGTGACCCTGAGTGGTCCAGAGCCTCCCTGTCATGAGCTGAAGGCCTGTGCAATGATCTCTATCCAGTTGTGAAGCTTTGGCATGTCACTTAGAGCCAGTAGCATCCCCATCCAGCATCCCTCATCACCAGAAGACCTTCAGGAAGGTCTCTTCAGGCCTATTTGGGCCCTGTCCAGCAACCCTGAGTGGCCCAGAGTCGGCTGTGCTCCATGTTGTGAGCTGAAAGCCTGTGCAGTGATCTCCACAAGCTATGCAGTCTTAGCATGTCACTTGGAACCTAGAAGGACACTGCCCATCATCCCCCATCACAAAAGGACCTTGAGGAAGTTTCTTCTAGGCCTAGATGGGCCCTACCCAGTTACCCTGAGAGGCCCAGAACTGCCTATGCTCTATATTGTGAGCCAAAAGCCCATGCAGTAATCTCCACCCAGATGCAGAGCCTTGGCACATGGCTCAGAGCCTGGTAGAGCCCCACCCAGCATCCCCAATCACTGGAGACCTTCAGAGGACCTTCAGGAAGTTTCACCCAGGCCTAGTTGGGCCCTACCCAGTGACCCCGAGTGGCCTGTAGTCACCTGTGCTCCATGTTGTGAGTTGAAATCCCATGCAGTGATCTCCATCCAGCCAAGTAGCCTTGGTATGTTGCTTGGAGCCTAGTAGGGCTCTGCCCAGCATCCTCAATCACTAGAGGACCTTCAGGTAGGTCCCTCAGGGCATGATTGGTCCATGCCCAGTGACCCTGAGTGGGTAGAAGCTACCTGGTAAGGACTGACTAAGGACCTCCAGAAAACTGAAGAAATTCCCTGCAGTATGGATAGATATTCTCAACTTAAGAAAAACTGAGACCTTGCATTCAGCTTCCCTAGGGGAATATAGGAAAATGACAAAATGGAAAAGGAAAATGAAATCTCAAACCTGCAGCCCATCCCAAACAAGCCTAGGATATGCACACAGAAGAATATGTAAGCCATACACCTAAAACTCCTAAAATGATAGCAACTGAAGTAAAGAAACAACTCCATGAAG